GGAAGGATTACTAAATAAAGCTGGAGTTGTGACTCAAAGGATTATAGACCCAAATTTGGGAAAAGGAGGGAAAGATGAGAAAAAACAAAAGATGTAGTAGTGAGAAAGGTTAAATAGATCTTCTGTTGACCCTTAATTTTCCAACCTTTCTCACTTTTTTATCTTTTGTCCTTTCTCTCCTTTCCCTGCACTTGGGTCTATAATCCTTTGATTCACAACTACAGCTTTATTTAGTATTTTTTCCAAAGTTGCAAGATTTGGCTACATTGCGCCAAATGTGGCTACTTTTTTTTGTTTGATGTAAAAAATATCATTTGGCGCTTTGGCTACTTTTTGGGCTACATATTATTTATAATTATATTAATTGAATAAAAATGCACTTTAAAATGGTGTTTCGTTGCTTTTTACTAATTAGAGACCCAAATATAACAAATATTTGTGCTTTTCAAATAAATTCCCATTTGTCTCTTTTATAATAAATGAATTTATCTATTTCTAAGTAAAAATTGAAAGTGTCTGTAGAAGTAATTTTTAAAATATCCTTTTTCTTGATAAAGTTTTAATAACTTATTATTATAATCTAGACATGTTAATTTTTAAATAAACTTGTATATTGGGCCACAAGTATATATTATATGTACTTGTGGCCCAAAACTCCTTGACTTCTTCGAATGCTGCCCAGAGAAACAAAAAGGTTGGACACCCCTGATCTAAACCAATCTTTGCATGTTGTTTCCGACAGAGCATGGTCACCATAAGTCTCAACAAGAATTCTGTGTGCTTCAGCTGCAGATTTTTTATGAATAAAATGGTGCAATAAAATTTCCCACAAATACTCGTTTTTTGGCACAAAACTCGACATGTTTAACACTATGGAAAAAAGTTGTTTACACTTCGGCGAAATGACATATACTGAATTTCAAGCTTGCTTATGGTACTTCCTTACAGATATGCAACCATCTTAAACTACATGCACACAGTTCTGGTAATGCCATCTGTTGGAAAACAGCAAGAACTTATTCAAGGCTCCAATACAATACTTTTAAAATGAATTGGACAATTCAATAGGCATACAGAACTTTACCTACAAAACTTCTGTCTGCTCTTAGCAAGGCTGAATTTATCAATTGCAGAAGGAAGTCCAGTTTTGTTGCAATATTTCTTTCAATGGAAGAGACCAAAAATATTTTTTTACACATTATTGATTAGAGATCGACAAAGAAAACATACCAAATAAATAAGTGTACACAGTATATAGTTAAACAAAGTATTTATTTTCATGGTACAGATACAGATTCTTATGGATTCCAAATCAATGGCAATGAATAGTAATACAGCAGTAACAATAATATTGATAGACAAATGACAAGAATACGTATATATTGCAATATGTACAAGGAAATTGATAACGGGAAATGCTATAACTAGTACTTATAAACTAACTTAAACTAAGGGAAGGGGAAGTCAGAATAGGAAAGTGATAAATGATGAGGTAGGTTATAGGAAAGTATGAAATACCCAGGATGTCAGTGGGAGGCCATACGGAACTCGCTTAGACTGATGGCTTGTCGTTGACTTCCTTTTTCTTCTTCTATCTATTTGATACTTGTATCATCACTACAATAAGTTCACTGATCTTTGTCAAGCTAGTTCTGCTTCTCCAGTCTAGCTGCTCTCAATGACATGAAGCACCATCTTCTATGTTCTTCATCTTGGAAGTCCAGCAGAAAAAATGTTTGACTCCTTCTCACTCATGCCTCCAGGTCCTTTTTCTCTCTTTGTTTTCTAGTTCCATGAATTGGCTCTCATCACTGAAAAGAAAAGAGTAAGAATAGAAAGTTCTAAAGTGAGAAGGAACAAAGAACAAAGGGAAAGATGCTTAAACTATGAGTAAATTAATATACGCAATGGCATATGGCCACACTATGAATTTGCCTGAAAACATTTGTCAAGTCATTAAATATTTTACTAGAATTTATTAAACATTAAAGTTGTTTTCTATTAAAAACTACTGCCAAATTTTCAAGGCCCTACACATCACATTTTTACCTATATATAGAGCTACTTCTGTTATTTCATAATATCAAATATCAAAAACTCTATTATAATGGTATTAAGGTTAACTAGTGCAGCGTACTTTACAATAGATATTGGATGGTGATTATTATAAGAATATTTACTTGAGAATTATTACAGGAAATACAGTATTTTTCTTGTAGACAGAAGCATTATTATATATTCAGCATTAGTTTATATATTTGACAGATCTAACTATTCATAGACTGTCCAGTAATGAATACTCTTAGAGAGCAATTAATACTTTTTTCTGAAAAAATAATTAATGAAAATATACTTATTAATAAAAGCCAAACACTGGTATTTGAATAGAAATATTTAGATCTCTTCAATCTCAACTAATTCCATGAGATAATTGAATCTTATAGTAGAACAATACAGTTTCTACTGCAATGAATTTGTTAATTTCTACTAACAAATCAAACAAATTTAAAAATGTAATTGTACTTTTTAAAGTACAATTCACTATTCAATGTCAGAACATTCTTTCAAATATCTTCCTCATACAAACAGACAAAAACACTAAGATAATAAAGATATAAACTCAAAAAAAAGCAGTTTATTCTGAGGCAAATAACATATGATTCAAACATAGACAAATTACATATTTATCATGACATCATTATTTTGGATAATTCAAAAAGAATTAAAAAGTTTTCCATTCAGTAAAAACTATCAGTGTCTAAATGATGAATTACTGTATAAGTAAAATACTAACAAATCTGCTTTATTGGAACTCGCATTGGGTAACGTTTCATCATTAGGAGATACAAAAGTGAATTAGCTTGATAACTTAGTCACTTAATTCTGAATTAAATTTTTGTTTTAATCATTTTCAAATTCTTATAATACTGTCTTTGATATTGATGATATTATAAACCTGAAAAGGTATCCTAGTAAAAATAAAAGAAGTCAGTTGTTTATTCACCTTTAAACATATTTATTCAATGTATTTTATCCTACTGTTCATTTGTTACACTTTTGCAATTTTCAAAATTTAAAAGGAGAGAAATAAACAAATATTATTCTTTTTCCATATTATTTATTCACAAATCATAGCATGTGGACTTAGTGCAATCTGTTATCTTTATAAAGTATGAAGATCTGAACCACTTGATTGAGCAATAAACTTATTTTTATATCAAATATTTTACAATTTTTTGTGAAATACTAATAAAAGTTAAGTAAATTAATTATGTAGTCAAAACTGACAATGAAATCTGAAGATTCGATAAATATTTTTAACTGCCCAAATAACCAATTTCAGGTTCCACAGTGAAGTAAAAACAGGCAATTTTCCTGTAAAGAGAGGTTACAGATTTATTTAATAGATAAAATATTCATAGCAAAAAAATAAGGAATAAAAAAAGCTTTGAAAATAATTGTGTAAAGATTATATTATTACAATTGCATTTTATTTCCTTTGATATGTAATCTGAAAATGTAAATATCAGTTTGAGACTGTATTATATCTTACTTTCCTAAAGGCTTAATGTACTTTTTTCAATAGAATTGTGTTAAATCTTGAAATTCAACACCTCAAAAGTAAATTAAATATTTCTATATGATAAATAAGTTATTGTAGTTTATAATCAGTTATTATGTTAGTGATTGAAGTAATGTTTAAATAATTATTTTAAATTTAGTTCTAATGTTTTTATGATTATAGGTCATCTAAAATCATTTCTAGCTTCTTTCTATATTAATTCTGTTAAATCTCTTTCAGAATAGCCTTAGTAGCTTATTACTTTATTAATACATTACTGTATTTAGCAACATGTGTTAAAAGTTATTGATTTTTTTAATTATTTATGAAAATATTTACCTTGTATTCAAAATGCTTCTCATTAAACATATTCACAGATATTAGTATTGTTTAAAACTGAGGTAAGTGGAATTTGCTCTGTTCATTTTTCAGTTTTTCACAGCAACATTTGCCATAGAAGCATCATTCAAGTTAATAGCACTGAGCCCAAAGTATTATTTCAAAGAAGGATGGAACATCTTTGATTTTTTAATTGTGGTACTCTCTCTAGTCGAACTGTTTGGAGAAAACGTAGCTTTGCCTGGACTGTCCGTTCTGAGGTCATTTCGTTTGGTGAGATTCTTTACCATTTTTTGCACGTGCTCGTAATTTCTTAATTATTCAAAATTTTTTAATCTCGCAATGCTTTACTTTAAAATGACAAATTTTACTAATCCAAATTAATTTTCAGCTTCGTGTATTCAAACTTGCAAAATCTTGGCCTACACTCAATTTGTTAATTTCTATAATGGGAAAAACTGTGGGTGCCTTGGGAAACCTAACTTTTGTGTTAGGTATCATAATTTTTATATTTGCTGTTATGGGTATGCAGTTGTTTGGTGAACACTATGAAAATAATAAAGACAGGTGAGTGTAAAATATTTAAGTTTACATATTTAAAATAAATAGTTATGAAATTATATTTAATAATAAAGCATATTGAATTAACTGATGTTACTTAGAAATTATTTAACTTGATTTCAAATAATTCAATACAAGTTGTATTGATACTTACTCACACTTAAAGCATGAAATAATTATCAGAAATAGTGTTTTTTTATGAAATTCCTGAGAAAATCTTATATTTTAGTTTCTCATTTCTTATACTATCCTTTTTCGTAATAAAGTTTTAATACTTATTACTATAATGTAGACATGTTAATCCTTAAATATACTTGTATATTTAAGGATTAGGCCACAAGTATATATAATATATTTGTTGCCCAAAACTCTATGAGTTCTTCCAATGTGGCCCAGATAAACAAAAAGGTTGGACACCCCTGCTCTATAGCTTAGAGAGTTCCCCATGCAGGTACAAAGGAAAACATATCGAATAAAGGAAAAACACTCTATAATTCCACTGAAAGAACCAAAATTTTATTTCACCATCCTTAAGTTCAGTTCAAGACTTGCAACTATTGCAATATTTACCTTAATTCTCTGTCTCTCTCTTGCTTTCACTGTTCATGACACACGCAACCCAAGAACAAAAATGGAAAATAACACCTTGCCGTTCTTCAGGACCTACTTCTCACCATGTCCTTTCTTTTCACTCGCCAAGCCAAAAGTGTCTTTTCTGTCCTATAGGCCTGTGCAAGGATTCTTCTAGATCTGGATTTCTCTGAAGTCATTGAGCCCTCAGAGGCTTGGATTCTATAGCTCAACCCTCTCAACCATGACAAGCCCATTTGGATAGACAAAAGGTCTACAATGAACTAAACCATGTGGTCTTAAGACCACATGGTTTAGTTCTCCCACTTCTTCTGAATACAAGAAAAAATAATTGTATACACATTTAAAACAATAATACCATAAAGGGACAACACCAAGTACACAATATTAAGTAATCTGTGTTTATACACCTTTGGGCTATGTTACTGGAGAGTAACCAGGACAATACAATGACATGTACTATGTTTCCCATGTTTATGCACTTAGTCGTAACATTCAAGACTCAATGCCTGGAAGTTAATTTGTCGATATCTCGAGTTGTATCTGCTACTCCAGTTATCCTCAATTTCAGGGAGTCTTGCATCCTAGTCCAGATGGTTGTCATTGTCTTCTGGTGTAACCATTCCAATTTTTTTCCAAGTTTTTCTTCTATTTCTTGTAATTTGTCTTATCTGTGTTCTCCAGCTCTCTTCTTGATATCTCCAGCTCTCTTGTTGATATCTCCAGCTCTCTTGTTGATATCTCCAGCTCTCTTCTTGATATCTCCAGCTCTCTTGTTGATATCTCCAGCTCTCTTGTTGATATCTCCCTAATGTTCTGTGTCATTCTCCACCACATTGATGCAGAACATTCTCCTTAAGAAATAAACGTCTTTCAACACTAGAGGAGTTATAATTCAGCACTTCAAACAACCTTTACAGCTCCAGTGGTATGTGTTTACACCACTGGATATTGGTGTAAACACATACCATTCCAGTGGTATGTGAATACACCACATAGGAGTATTTTTAAATCTGTTTATAAATTTTGAATCGTATACGTTCCGTTCCAAACGCGTTGAATTCCTAATTAAAGTAGCCTGATGAAGACCTCGATGGGGTTGAAAACGTTTGCTAAGGTGTAAACACATACCAATGGAGCTGTAAGGTTGTTTGAAGTGCTGAATTATTCTCCTTAAATAAAAATCCTTTGTCTAACCTTGTTTGCTTTCTCTGCTACTATGGCTGCTTCATCAAATGATGGAAGGTGACCAGTGGTGCACTTGGGAGTGTAATAAAGACAGGTGAGTGTAAAATATTTAAGTTTACATATTTAAAATAAATAGTTATGAAATTATATTTAATAATAAAGCATATTGAATTAACTGATNGTTATTTTTTTAATCTGTTCAGTTTTATATCTGAAGTATTTGACCCAAAAATTTTGAAATTACAATCAAACTTCTGTATAAAGAATTTCCTCTAGGAAGTGCAGAAAATTTGTAAAGTGGAAAATGCATAGTATACTGTAATGATATATTATGCTCTGCATAAATATACTTGTACTCGTATTAAAAACAAAACCTTATGCATGCATTTTAAATCAAAAACTTAAACAGCTGTATAGTATTTGTTTTTTTGGTTTTTTTTTTGAATTTCAGGGAAAAAATGTTATAACTGAAATAATAAATACTGTCCTTTTGTATACAAGTACAGTCAAACCTTGGTTTTCGAATGATTCACTTTTCAAACAAATATGTTTAGGAATGGAATTTTGAACTTATACTTGCACGTGTTGCCATATGATAACTCAATTACTGAACAAGCTACTCATCAAGAGCCAGCCACAGATTAGCGAGACAGACACAGATGGTCCCTGTACTTTCTATGTTAAAGACAGTCTCACGTCATCTGATCACAACATATCGCCTCACGTCATTAGATATCACAACACAAATCTTTGATGCCATTGCTATTTAAATTAGAATTTGATGCACATGCAGGAAATATACTAATTTTATTTTTGATTATGTGTCTCAGTTGAATTTTAACCAAATTAATTAATAAAAACAGTGTTAATTGACATTCATGTAATGTAAATGGCATCCAAGAATCTGTGTTTAATTGTGCTTAAGTCAAATTAAATAACAAATAAAGGAAAAAACAACATTAAATAAAATTATAAATTGTATAATGCATTTTTACATTTTATTTTAAAACAAGAAAAATTAAGATATAAAAAAATTGTCAAAATTGTTTAATTTTTGAAAAAAATATGATAAAGAAAGGATTTTTGAGATATACTCAAACAAAAAAAATGGAGTGAACACACATGATGAAGGACATAGGTTTCACCTCTGAGCCTTTATATTTCTGGTACAGTTCGAATATATTAGATGAACAAACGTTTTTGATTCTTTGTCCAGATTCTGCTTCAGGTTCACTATCATTCCAAATGTGGAATGCCAAGAATTTTGAATGCTTTTGAATAAAAATTGCTTGAACCAGTGATGAATTGATAATAAAGATTTGAATAAATGTACCCCAAGACTGTATTTTAATGCTGTGAGAGATCTATGAGGGAATAAAACATAACAGTCATAGAATATAACAAGAACCTACATTCTCTAGATAAGGAAATAGTAGAAAAGAAGGGCATGAAAATAGCTTACACGAGGACACAAACAATTTACTCTTTATTGAGGAATGCTAAAAACACACCTGATAGTTTGAGGGTACCAGGAGTGTATAGTGTCCCGATTAGGGACCATGGGTTCCAGAGAAATTTAGTACACATTGGTTTGACCAAATGGTCTATACAAAAAAAGATTAAGGAACATAAATACGACACCAACCCCAAAGTAATGGCCAACTNGGGAATTTTATTGAGTTTGCATAAAAAATTTTTTTATCCATTCAACTCAGCTCCCCCAAGATTATTCTTAAGTGTGCCACTGAGGTTCAACTCTTCCTGTTGTAATTGTATATGCTGTAATGTAATATGCTGGTCCTTATGGTAACTGAACAACCTGTTCAGTTACCGTAAGAGCCTGCTGCTGAACTTTCTTATTCTGTTCAATTTGCCATTTTGCTACTTCTTCCCCATACTTTATTTTTTCCTAGTTGCTAGTTAGTGTTAACCCCTACTATATAACATACTATTGTATTTCTGGAGGTCTCTTACCTAAATTTTTTATTTTTGATATTAAATATTTATTTCCACTTAAATGTGAATCTAATGTCCATAAAAATTGCCGGTAAAAATAATTGGTGCAAAATAAATACTCCCAAAACATGTTTTTTATAGTTAAACTATATAACGAATTTTAAATAATCTAAAATAATGCTTTTATTTGATAAATATAGCTGTAGGGAGTGTTATTCTTTCATTTGATGGAAATTCACAAATGCAGACTTCACACATGCAAAAATTCACACATGAAAATGCAAAAATTCACACATGCAGACTACATTGTGTGACCGCAGGGTCGGCACCTCTTTAGCGCCTTGTCAGGAAGACACCACTGCGTCTTGAGGACAGACACAGAAACTGGATTGGCCGTTTAATTTCGTTATGCAAACGGTCGCATGTGCAGACCTTAGGTTCCGGGATGGAAGTGGAAGGAGAGAACCAGAGGAAATACACTTCACAACTTTTCATATAAATAAAAATATCTGTTTATTATTATTCGATATAGACTATTTACAGATTTAAGTTAGTAGATGCTTAGCCAAGCTAATCCAAACTGACATATTACGTAACTACTACAATCCTAACAACAAAAGTTAATGAGAGAGAGAGTTTACATTAAGTTCACGCGAGGATAAATACCTTTGAAGAAATAGTAGAATGATTGGAGGGTTGTACACATAGGAAATTTTGAAATGGCACCAAGTTACTTGGAGTTGCGACGATGTTTTCTGTGTGGCGATGAATCTTCCGGAACGGCGGCAATCGGAACAGTTAGGGTGGCGGCGAATGACTCATGACTACCAACACACGCACATAGTTCACTGAACACCCAAGGATGCTGTTTGACTCATCGACCCTCCCTTTTATTTAGGGGGTCGCCCTTGGGTTTTTCCCACAACCTTATTAGAACTTTTTCCATCGCCGTCCAATAGTTGATTATTTTTTCTCTTTCGTAGATTTCGGGTGACATAATAGGAAGCTGTGTCACCTCCAAAAGGAAGTCAATCCGGTGAAGTTACGATCGTATCTTTTTAGATTTTTATCTAGTGAAAAATAAGAGTTTAAAACTTAATTTTTTTAATATAATTATTTGTTGTTTTGCTTTATTTAAAAGCGAACAAGAAAGTTTATAAAAACCCAATTAATAAAATGGTAAGTGTTTATCAGATCTGGGCACTCACAATTGTTTACAAACCAGTTGACCTTGAGAACAGTTGGTGGCAGCTTTCCAGGGATGTTTACAT